CAAGAGCGCTTTGAGCCGCCGCGTTCAAAAGCTCGCTCGGAAGCCAGCCAGCAAAGCAAGCTCCCACTTTTCTCGTTCCTTGCGCGCCTTCATCTGCGCGTTCGTCCCGTCCTTTCTCCCTTGTTTCGTTCATGATCTCCGGCGTTCCTACATCCTCGAACTAGGTCGTCATGGTATACAGAAATCAGCTTCGGTCTTTTTCAACGAGACTGTCAATCCGTCGTACATTAGCAGTTTGTGTTACTTCTATATTCGGTAACGAATATCGTCCGACGACTCTTACTCGTGTAATTATTAACCCTCGCGTTAGCCGACACTGGGTCACCGTTGACCCAGAACTTGATGCTACATACGTATAGGCAATGATAACAAATATGGTACCAAGTGTGCCAAATGTTGACAATTTATATGCAAAGAACATGCAATGAAACGCAATAACGTTGTGTGTACGCAGTGAAAAAAATATGTTTGTAAAATTTTACACTTTTTAAACAAAAATTCCTCTCCTCCCCACGAGAAACATTATTAGATAACCTCCTGTACCAAAAAGTTAGATGCAAAGCAAGTATGGTAAAAATTAGAGAGAATAAAGCTTTTCTCGTGAGAAGCTCCGTTGGTTGTTGAGATTACTATTTTACTTTATCGAATTTATTCCTCGTAAATTGAGAAATAGTTTTTCAAGTTGTTTATATCATCGAAACGAACGAGCGAAGATTTCTTTACTGTAACCATAGAAAACAGAGTACTTGCGCATATTCTGACGTTCCAACGATGATTTTACATTTTACTTAAAAACGATTGAAAAAAAAAAAAAATTATGACAGAACGGTTTCATCTAACCATCGAACATGATCGCACGTCCAGTTGATAAAGTGGAAAATGTTTATAAAATTTCGCGTTCTTAAAAGAGTCTGTACGTCGAACAATACGTTACGTTCTCACCATAAAAGCCTTTTACGATCGTGCATAACATAACATAACTGGAGGCTGGATTAGACTTTCATGTCAGCTTCGACTTTGAAAAGAAAGGAAAAGAAATTTCCATGTTACGTGAGAATGACGGATAAACAATCAGCGGATTCTGACTCGAGAGGCAAATCGTGGAAAATATTATATTGAAACACGGAGCGGCATGATTGACGGTGGGTGTAACCAGCGGACAGGTAAGAAAAGCCAGACAGGATTTCCTGGCTGCAGATCAACGCCTTGTTACATTCTCATTCATTACATAATATTTACGGCGAATTAGATGCAGAAACGTAACATTAATGCGATAAATTCCGATCGGGCCGATATGATTGCACTTTCACGAGCCAGTCTCTAAACACGTTCGACATTATACAATTAGGTATTACGTGTGTCGGCGATTACGTGAGTGGAATATATCTGCGACGGAGGTTCCCATCCAAGTGTCAAAGAAAATTTGTTTACTTCAGAGAACTTTTGTAACAACTCTCCAGAAATTTCTCTGTTATCTCAAATGAAGAGAATATTCGAAGAATTACAAGATCGAAGGAAAGTGTATAACACGATGGTGATAGTTTCTTCGCGAATGAAAATATACAATAGAAGATTAGAGATCAATATTAGATTTTTAAATAGAGTGTTCTAAAATTTCCCTGAAATGAGACTAAAGTTGAAAAAGACGCTAATAATTTCTTTACGAATGAAGACGCACGATAGAAGAGGTGTGGAGATCAATTTTAGATTTTTAAATAAAATGTTCAATTATCATTCGTTGTGTTCAAGTTCGATGAAGTGGTTAAATATCTTAAAATTTGCTTGAAATTTATTTTAGAAAATAAAATTGGTCTCCAGATTTCCTATTGCATCTTAAAATTTATTTTAGAAAATTGCATCTTTACTATGCTGTCCCCACCACCGTTAGGATTCTTTTTTAACAAGTTTCAACGCGGAATATTTTCGTTCATCATTCCTTACAATAAACAGAAGATACTTCAATGGCACAGTATCCTTATTCTCATCAGAGTCGAATAATCAAATGGAAAGAACTTTCATCGTTCACGAGAAAAAGTTCCACTTCCACATGAGGCAATTAGTTCAACAATAGGCAAATTTAGCAATAGCAATTATAACTAGACGAGCAATTATAATTAGAGTACCGTTTCAGCGTTACGTGTTCCAATATCTAATGGATTGCGCATTTAGATTGCGTTTTCACGTACAACGTGAGCTATAGAACATTTGACAAAGGCACATAATTTTGAGCTAAAACGGCGTCCGGCGGTTCGAACGGTTGCAGCACTTCCGACGACACGCGCGCGTATATTTACGCGCAGAAATCGGCTGCATCTTCTTCGGTGTGCGCATAATTCATCAAAAGTCTACGCTGAATTAACACAAATATCCCCCAAATAAACGAACCAGACGTTACATATAAATTCCCTCAGCTTCTACAATTCCACCTCTTCCTTTTCTTTTTACTTTTTCAAATATGATAAAATTAACACGTTTGGCATAGCAAAAGGCGAAATTCTTTTTTTTTTCTTTTATTTTAAATGAAAGAGACATTCGTTTAAAAATATTTTCAACTGTTATAAAAAATATAAGAGAAAACTTTCACCTCGTGCTACTTTGACTGAGAAGCAAATCTTCGATCGAGAAAATTTCAGTGTATTGATCGGTCCTTCTTTCGTTGAATGAAGAAACACAATCGGACAAGTTGATACTAATTTCAAATTCCACGCTCAACGTTCTGCGTAAGTACATCATCGTCGAGAAACGATCTCACCCCCTTTGAACCGGCAGTTACAGGTCGAATAATCGAAATATTGTATCAGGGTGTCGACACCGGCGGGTCCCGTCCACATTCAATAGGGAAATAAACCTAAAATTATTAATCGAAGGTTCAAGCGAGGCTTGCGAAGCGTTGAACGTTGACTTTTCGCTTCGAACGCTGGCTACGCGCTGGGCTCGTTTTAATGCATATTCGATGTCGAGCCGAATAGCCGGTGCACGACGGTTACACACATCGATTCGCCGTCGTTCCAACGTGTAATGTCAACGATTCGTTCGTATGTTTACCAGCGCCGAAAACTGCTGTATTCTTGCAAGCACCAGCTGCTTCCTGGCGTAGAAACCCGTTCCAGCAAGTGTAATTCTTCCCGTGTGAACGCGCAACTTCTGAGCTTTTGGATTGTTGGGAGGAGCGATGCTTTCAGGGAAGTTCCTTTCGGTGTTGGAGTCCGTTCGTTTAACACGAATTTTAGAAACGTGGCTCGTTATTTCCGACAAGTTTCCAAAAGTTTTCCAATTCTTATGAAAGATACTTCCAATTTCGAAATTGAAGTTCCTTCCGATTGAAGTTGATTTATTAAATTTGTAATCAGTTCTCAACTTTGGGGACGGCTTTTCTGCTTGGAGTTGATTTTGAGCTTTTGAATAGATTGGATCTTTTCTACTTCGAAGTTGCTCGCTCGAGTTTTTCTTACACACAAGTTCAAAAAGAAAGCGACGAATTATCGTATACGGTCACTCGTTATGGTCCGCAGTTAGTTACCAGAGCAAGTGGTTAACACCAGTACTACCAAAATGGTCGAGATGTATAATTTTCCAATCTACAATTTTTTAGATACTTTAGACATTTTATATATGGCACACTACAGTCAGTATAATTTTGACAATAATATTCTAGTGATATTAACCTCTTGCGCTGAAATGACGTGTCGCGCACGTCGAGAGTTTTTCGTTTCAAAATTGTATAATAATATTTTCTCAGTTTTAAGTATATTTAAGTGAAACAAAATGGGTGAAACAAATAATAAATTTATTACTTCTCCAGTGATATGATATCGACGAGTTCAAAAAGGAGGCGACGAATTATCGTATACGGTCACTCGTTATGGTCCGCAGTTAGTTACCAGAGCAAGTGGTTAACACCAGTACTACCAAAGTGGTCGAAATGTATAATTTTCCAAAATGTATAATTTTCCAAATGTATAATTTTTTAGATACTTTAGACATTTTATATATGGCACACTAGTCAGTATAATTTTGACAATAATAATATTCTAGTGATATTAACATCTTGCGCTGAAATGACGTGTCACGCACGTTGAGAGTTTTTTGTTCTAAAATTGGATAATAATATTTTCTCATTTTTAAGTATATTTAAGTGAAACAAAATGGGCGAAACAAATAATAAATTTATTACTTCTCCAGTGATATGATATCGACGAGTTCAAAAAGAAAGCGACGAATTATCGTATACGGTCACTCGTTACGGTCCGCAATCAGTTGCCAGCGCAAGTGATTAAACTCATAATTTTGTGTTTTGTAAGTTTGGCTTTATTTTTCCCCACTTTGAAATTGCACGATTGAAGCCTTGTTTCCTCCCGATTGAATCTGACTTTTTAAACTTGTAGCTGATTAATTTCATTTCAGCATAACTGTTACAGAACGCCAGTCTGACTGTGTATCTGAATCTACTTATCACTCGATTGATACTTGTGTATGCACACACTAACGAATATCATTTTGAAGCACTGGCTAACTTTTTAATGTAACCACGAATTTCATCATTGTATGTTCTATGTCAAAATTGAAGCAATGGCGGCCGGTATAAATTTAATCGATCCGAAATGTCCGTACGAGCTAATTTATTAATCAAGATGAATAATTAGTACCGGATAATAGTCGGAATGGAAGATGATCGATCAATGATTCAAATAATAATAATTGAAGTAATGATGTAGGAAGTTACGGCCGTATCAATTACACGAACATTGACTTCGCTGTGCTCAATTATCCATACAACATATTCGATATCGCTTTATGTTTTAAACATCAAGCGTTACCTGTTATATTCATATAGAATGAATTTTAAGCCTTGACTGGCATATCATTGGATAATGGAAGTCATGAATTGAGGTTCAAGTCAGGTTTCACAGGTATAAATTGAATTGGGTTTAATAAATCTGCAATAAATTTGAGTTTAAATTAAATTTAGATTTTACACTACCTTGCATTTTGTACCTTTTAATTTGACTTTCTGGTAATTCCTTTACCAATTTTCATCAAAGAGAATACAAGATACAAAATAATACGATCGAATATTTAAATGACTGAGTAAAAATTACTACAATCATCTGCGAGCTCGAGAGTTAAAATCAACTTGGATTGAAATGCAAATCTGTTGTAAAGAAAGTTAAGAAACCTAAATATTTCGTTCGTCTTCGAATGATAGGCATCGTTTGCCACGAGTGATATCACGAGCGCCGTTTTAATTATCGTGGAATTCTCGTGACGCGATTACGCAACAAGAGAAGTGAAAGTCGCTCGATATTTGAGAACGCGGGGCGCGGTGCACTGAGACGTCGAGATTTCTCGCAGACGTTCGACCTCTTCGTCGTCTCCCGCCCGAAACGGCAAAGCGGAAGTGAAACGAAATGAGATTCTGCCGGTGCGAGATCCGAGTCTTATAATACGAATTTTTTGACGTTAAACAATTTCTCTGTAACAATGTACAATGAAAATATTAACTCTCAACCGGCGCCAGTTTTTAATTTAATTGAACTTTATTATTAAGACTAGAGCTACTAAAGTGGCCAAAAATGACCAATTTATAATTTCTGTTAGACATTTTATAGACGTAACAACACTGTGTTTTTAAAGATTTAAATAATTTTTTGTAAAATATATAAATGAAAGCTCATATACATTGTATTATTATAAAGTTTCTCTATTTTTTTGACTCTGATGGAAATTTTATGTTTTAATCATCGATAGTTCTAATGTTAATAATAAATAATTATAAATAATAAATATTTATCACTCTCCGTGATAATAATTAAATAATTATTATTAATTATATTATTATTAATAATTATTACCACGGAGAGTGTAATTTAATTGAACTTTATTACTTATCACGCAGAACGTAAAAAATTTGTAATCACCTAATGACATAACTCAGACCAATATAAATGATATAATATGTAAAATAAAAATAATATAATTTATAAAGTATAAAGTATAATAGTAAAGAGTAAAAATAGTATAATTTAAAGTAAGTAAAATATATCAATATAAATGATATAATATGTAAAATAAAAATAATATAATTTATGAAGTATAATAGTAAAGAGTAAAAATAGTATAATTTAAAGTAAGTAAAATATATCAATATAAATGATATAATATGTAAAGTAAAAATAATATAATTTATGAAGTATAAAGTATAATAGTAAAGAGTAAAAATAGTATAATTTAAAGTAACATGAATTTCATATTACTCATCTACGATGCAACGACGTTATTCGAGGATTAATATTATTACAATTTGCAAGGATCGAAATTCCTCCTTTATTTCCCTCCTTCTATATTAATCCATCCTCATTATCAGATCGTTGAAATCAATTAAATCAAACTCGTCGAAGCATTAAACCAAAGAACGATCAATCTCCTCGATTCAATCTCAAGACGCATTCGCACACTCGCGCCCGCTATTAAATCGATAATTCCAAACTGTAATCACCAGTTAGGCTAAACCGTAACCTCTCTAATAACCAGAAACGGCCGGCGAGAGGAGGGAGGGGGGGGGGGAAGATTGGATTCGCGAGACGCGAACGGAAGTGAAACGAAATGAGACTCAGCGCCGGTGTATTCGGAAGTGTTCCTTCTCTCACACGGCCGGGATAACCCGTGCCTTTTCGGTTTTATTTCGTCTGAGTCCGGACTTATTCGTCGTGTTCCTCGCCACTTAAACATTTTATCGGCGAGCGGGCACCGAGGTCGACGATGCTCGATTGGCCACCGAACGATAAAAACCCGGACGTTCCGCGTTCGGTCCAGACGTTCCGCAGGAAAAATTCCCTTTTCCCGCGAGAGGAAACGCGGCGATTTCGCTTCTCCTACGGCGCCATATTTGCTTACGAGCTCCCCGCGCTTCTCACGAACTATCGTGAGTGCCATTTCCTTTTTTTTTTTTTTTCTCTGCAGCGAATTTTCCATGGTCCCTTGGCCCGTCACGTTCGAACGACCGGTTCGATCGTTCACCGTTTCGCGTCTTCTTCTTCCTCCTTCATTAACGAATTCTTGTTCTTTCTTTTTTTCTTGTCTTTTCGAGCATTGACTATCGTTTCTGAGGGAGCGTCACGTGGATAATTTAAAGATTTACAGTTACAAAGTTGTAATCATCTTTTTCATTTTAGGTAGTCGTTATCTTTTGTCAAGATTACCCAAGGTTAATTCACAACTGAGGAGTATTTCGCTATGAATCAACGTCGAAACTAATCGTCGATTTCTCGTTTTCTTCGTGCTTTCTCTCGCTCGCGATTTAAAAGCTCGGATAAAGTTACGATCTACCTTCTTACAAAACACATTCAAACATGTATATTATTCGAAACTTTTTCATGTTTATTTCATTTCAATCGCTTCAAAACGATTATAAAGATAAAACCATCTACGACAGTCAACGTCTTCATTCAAATTGGAAAGAAAAAATGGTACACGTAATTTAACGAGGCATGGCTACTTGTTTCAATTTTATTTAATATGATAAATAAAAGGAACGTTGCACGAGATTGCGATTTCGCCTTTCAATCGTGGAAATAAATGTTGGAACTGGGCGGAACTCCTACGTGAACTTTGGTACACGAGCTTCTTTGTGCGTTTGTGCATACATTCGAGGCACAGAGATATACATATGTACAAGGTGTTGTTTGTTTGCATGTTACAGCTTTCAAACGAGCCTGTTTGTCTCTTTATTTTCATACCTTCGTGCGTCTCTTTCCTCTGGTAAAACTTCCCTCTCTCCCTCTTTCTCTCTCTGGTTTTCATTTGTTCACGCTCCTTGACTTTCCCTTTCCATCCTTTCCCCGTTCTCGTCTCGTTTCAACCCTCAAGCTTTTCTTTCACGATCGTTTCCCCATTCTTATTTGTATTCTCCACTGTTTAACTTTCATTCTGTCCCGCTGATTCGTCCCGGCTTTTCACCCCGTTTATGCTTTTATACGTACACTTCCGCTTATACAGCCACTTTTCTGCCTTCTTGTTTCTTTCATCGTTCCAACCCCCCGTTCGCTCTGCGGTTTCAATCCTCCCTTTGAGCGTTGTCTTGAAAGTTCTTGAATTTCTTTTTTCTACGTTGTGTTCTTGGACAAGGTAGAAAGTACTACATGCATTTCTTTTTGACAGATTGTTCTACTTCAAACAGTGTTTCGTTAAATACCTCTTCGTATGTTTCTCTTTAGTTACTTAGTCCCTCGACGGCCTAATTTTTATCATTTTCGCTGCTCAGAATTCTCTTTGTTCACGTGAATTTTTTATTCGGGAAATATTGTAAAACATTTTTCGGTATTTTGCACAAATTATTCGGTTTTGTTGAGTATTTATATATACCTATATATTTTGACTAAATATATCTGTAAATTCTAAATGATCCTAATCTAAATTTATAATCTGTAAAATTTATTCAACACCCAGTCAACTATTCCAGTCAAATATTAAACTTATAGAAGTGAAAAACACCTAAATCCTGCAAATTTCTAATAAACTTTATAAATTCTAAATAACTTACAATCCAAATGTATAACCTCTAAAATTCAATCGTCATGATACTATATCAACCGAAAAATAAGCGAAAATCTAGCAAAATCCTCCTGAATTCTACAAATTCCCAACAAAAAAAATTCTAAATAAACTCTAAACAATTTACTCTAAACGTGTAATCTCTCGAGTCTGATCATCACGATCAAACGATTAGAAATACTACATCAGCCAAGAATTAAGCTTGTACAAACAGACGTCCTATAGAACCAAACCTGTTCAAACCGACTTTTGGTTTGAACAAGATGAAAAGATCGATCAACAAGCATCTAAGAAAATTTCCAAAAATACTAGCGTGAGATGTCCATGATTAGATTTAACCGTCCCGTGTAGGGAGCTAATATCCACTTCCTCCTTAAACCAACCCTCTCTGTTTCTCTAGCTCGCGCGAGTACACACACACACACATACCCAAAGAGAGATTGTCTCGAATGGTTGGAACTCGCGAACAGGTTCGGCTAACTGGAGATTGGGCACGTTGTCGAATACAAACGGGCCAAAGGCCTGCGGCGTTGTGTGCAGCACAACGAATGCAATTTGCCGGCGCCGCGTTTAATTACATCCGAGACGGTCACAGGCCCGCGTGGTCGAACCCGCGCGCGGACACGCTTCTGCCATCGAGCCGATCGCCTCTCCATTCCAACGATAGGTCCTACCGTGCTTGGTGCAACTATGCTCGATTCGACGTCCCCGTTTCCTCGGTTTGAAAGTGAAACGTTTAAACAGAGATCGTTTTCGCTTCATCATTTTTAGGGTGTTTCGCGCATTAACATATTACAGATTGTGTAATAAGCTCGTTCGACGATGAAATTAATGTGTATCACACATGGTGTTGATTGTTTTTTTTTTTTTTTAAATTAAAAGCAACTTTAGAAATTTTGTCTTTTTATCGAAAGGATTGCACGTATGCAAAGTGTTGTACGTTTCTTTGAATTATTATAATTAAATAATGGGAAGAACACTTTTCTCGGGCTGAAATGATTAACATTTCAACGTTAATAGTATTTCAACAAACTACGTTCGTCGATCGTAAAGCCAATATTTTCTTTTCTTTGTGATAATAATAATTTAATCTTTGAAATATTCCATGTTGTATTTTTAATTTCATATTACACTTGAAATATTATACAGTGTTCGTTTTCTCTCCCGTTTACAATTATGAGCAATGTTTACCCATGCTATGCGTAAAACACGAATGAATTATAAATAGATTGCACATGTTTATGCATCTATGAAAGATACAAAGAGAATGCAAGAAACTAAACATGTAGAATATCAAATGTAAAATATACATTGTAAAATATACATTGTATTATTTAGTATAAATCTTCTTGAATCTTCCTCTTCATTGCCTTCCTAAGTTCCATTTCTTTCACTGACGTCGGAAAAAATTTTAATTTGAATAAACATTCGCGACCTAGAATTGTAGAACACGGTTTCTGCAAT